TGTTTTCACTCATGTTTTCTAGAACGACTGCTATAATCCCTTTTGTACATATTATATATTAAATACATTTCTTATGAATTTGCAGGTGTACCAGGTGTGTAGAAACATGGGGAAATACTTTGATTAAAAGTGTTGACTATCAGCCTCAGCCCTACAACTAAATACTCAGTTTTGTAATGTTAAGCAAGCCACTGTCAACCCAAAAACTACCAAAAAGACATCTCTAAAGAATAATGCTATTAATTTATGACTAGCAGAATATTGAGATGGAAAGACAGATAACATAGTAAACTTTGAGCCTATTCAAAGAAGTTGAAACAGAGTGAAGCTTTTAAAGGCAAAAATGAAAGCCATTATACAAGCCATTATTTTGAAACAGTAATCCTTAGCCACAACAATTAATAAGAGTGGCATCAGTCTGTGATTAAAAAGGTAGTCCTGACAGATATCCTTACAGAAGTATTTTTTGGTAAAGTTTCAGTGGCCTTTGTACAAGTTTGTAGCTCTGATGTAGTTCTTTGTGACAATTACTGTCAGGCCCAGAGAACACTTTAGAACCTCTTGGCTTTGTTTTTGTTATAATTTCCACAGTTAAAAACCATTTTGATTCTGAGAACTTTTTAGCACCACACAGATCTTTCTGTGTGAAAATTGATGTAGTCATGGAGTAAAGTGGTAGAACTGGGAATAGTATTGAAATGACTGACTTGGAAGACTATAAAAAGGCAGATGAGGTTTATAACTAAAATTGAAAGGTAAAGAAGTGACTAAAGAATTTGAACTTGAGGGAAATAGGAAGGTTGAGGAAAATGGATTGCAGTACAGCTCGTAGTTCTTAACTGCTTCCTGCTTCCTTTCCATTCTTTTCTTATTGACAGAGAAACTATCTAGGCAAGATCATGAGAGAGAAATGAAGAAAAATTACATCTTCTTGTCGACACCTTCTTTCTTTAATTCTGTGGGTCTTCATCAAAACTTGTTTTATTTCTAGTGCTGCTTTTACGAGGGCAAGCACATGGTAGACATTTATTCTAGTTATCTAATTTGTTGGCAGTCAGTTTTCCGATAGTCATTTAAAATGTTCTCCATATTGTTAATTTCTGTAAGTTTAGTAGTGTTTCTTTTCTTTAACTTAATCCCAATTTTTGCTGCTTGTGATCTCTCTTGTCTTAGTTGAGTCTAGTAGATTATCACTTTTGCTGATCATTATGAGGAACTTTTAATATTGTTGATATTCTTTATTTTTCTTTATTTCACTTTTTATATTAAGTAGATTTGAGGCTTTCTTCTTTCTTTCTTTTTTTTTTTTGCCGGTCCTGGGGCTTGAACTCAGGGGACCTGGGCACTGTCCCTGAGCTGTTTTTGTTCTAGTGCTCTACCACTTGAGGCACAGTGCCACTTCTGGCTTTTTCTGTTTATGTAGTGCTGAGGAATCGAACCCAGGGACTCATGTATGTGAGGCCAGATCTACCACTGAGCCACATTCCCAGCCTAAGACTTTCTTCTTTTTAAACATATACATTTATAATTATAAATTAGCCCACAAGCACAAATTTAGCTGCATCCATAAGTTTAATTAATGTCTCCTCGTGTGCATGTGTGTGTATATGCGAGCATGCGATTCCTGGGGCTTAAACTGAGCCTGGGTGCTGTACCTGAGCTTTTTTGCTCAAGACTAGTGCTCTTAAGCCACAGCTTCACTTCTGGTTTTTGGGTGGTTATTTGGAAGTAAGAGTCTCCCAAACTTTCCTGCACAAGCTGGCATCAAATCATGATCTTCAGATCTAAGCCTCCTGGGTAGCTAGAATTATAAGCATCAGCCACCATCATGTGGCTGGTTTTCATTCTTTTCAAAGAACAGTAGACCTTTGGTATCCATGGTTATGTAGTTTCCTAGGTGATCAGTATTGAGGAAAAATTTCATAGGCTAAGGATGCTTTGTGTCAGTATTGTAAAGATACTTGATCTGTTTTTTTTCTTAACACTTTCAACTTCCACTAAAGACATGCTACCTTTCAAGAAACACCATTTTTTCATCACTTAAATTATATGTTTAATTTTTTCTTTGCTTTTGGTGCATTATTTACTTTTTTGGGGGGGAACACAGATTTTCACAAAATGACAGGAAACACTCATTAGATCATATGATTATTTAAAACAGATAACTGACCCAGAGCTTTATTGTATCCACTGATCTGAGTAATGTGTGCTTGGGGATTTAAAACTTTCATTTTGAAATTTTTACTCATTTCAGTTTTTATTTATTTATTTATTTTTTGGTGCTGATCCTGAGACTTGAACTCAGGTGTGGACACTGTCCCTGAGCTTTTTTTAAAGGCTAGTGCTCTACTATTTCAGCCACATCTCCATTAATTGTAGATAAGAGTCTTGAGGGCTAGGCAAGCACTCTACCACTAAGCCATCTTCCCAGCCCCATGGTTCTTCTAATAGTCCAGTAGAATTCAGCAGTAAATATATCCACTCCTGGCTTTTTCTTTGTTCAGAGACTCTATTACTGCTTTAATATTATGCTAATTTTAAACTAAGTTATTTATATACTCATAGTTCCATTTTGGTAGGTCTTTGTAACCAAAATTATATTTCTTCTCAATTTTCCAATTTAATGGAATTTAATTTTTTCAAAATAATTTTGAATAGTCTTCTGAATTTAATTCATATGTGTTTTAATATCTTTTTCATGTCTGATTTTATTAATTTGGATCCCTTCATTTTGGGTTTGGTTAGTTTGCTAGGGCTTATCAATTTTGTTGATCTTTTTATAGAACCCATCATTTTTTTTTTTTGGTTGGTTGTGGGGTTTGAACTCTGGGCTTGGGCACTTTCCCTGAACTCTTCAGCTCAAGGGGAGTGCTCTACCACTTGAGCCACAGTGCCACTTCCAGTTTTCTATTGGTTTATTGGAGATAAGAGTCTCACAGACTTTCCTGCCCCAGCAGGAACCTTGATCCTCAGATCTCAGCCACCAGCACCTGGCCTACTACATCAATTCTTTATATTGTTCTTTTAATCTCTATTTTGTTGATTTCTACTCATTCATCTGGTGAGTTGCTTCTTCTCTTTTTGGTAAGAACTTGAGGTGTATCACTAAGTTATTTGAGATCTGATTTTTAAAATTGAAATACTCTTAGCTATAATCTTTCCTCTTAGAACTGTCATCTCTGTGTCTTATATGTTCTGGTATAGTATGTTCTCATTTTCATTTAATTCTAGGAATTTTTAAATGTTCTTGATTTCTTCAACTGATTATTCATAGGGTATTTCTCAGTCTTCATGTGTTTGTATAGTTTTTCTTAATTGGTGCTAATTTTGTTTCATTATGATCTAATGGAATGTAAGAAATGATCTCAGTTTTCTTGTATTTTTTAAAAGCATGCTTTATGGCCTGTGTTACCTAGTTTGGGGAAAATTCATGCATTGCTGAAAAAAGCATATATTCTGTAGCAGTTGGGTGGACTATTCTGTATGTTTATTTCTATTCTGCAGTTTAATTTTGTAGTTTTCTTAATCTATTCATGAAGTGAGTTATTAAAAAAGACCATCCAAGGGCTGGGAAGGTAGCTCAGAGATAGAGTGCTTGCCTTGCATGCATGAGGCCCTGGGTTTGATTCCTCAGCACCACATAAGCAGAAAAAGCCGGAAGTGGTGCTGTGGTTCAAATGGTAGAGCGCTAGCCTTGAGCTGAAGAGCTGAGGGACAGCACCCAGGCTCAGGGTTCAGGCCCCATGATGGACAAAAAGAAGAAGAAAAAAAAGACAATCCACTCTTATTGCATCTGACCTACCTTTTATGTCCAGTAATTTTTGTCTTATGAAGTTGGGTATTCCAGTGTTTGATATCTTCTTGACAGATTGTTCCTTTACTAATATAATGTGTTGATTTTTATGTATCTCTTCTAATTCTAGTTTGAAGTGTATTTTGTCCAAATTGAATGTACTCCTGCTTGCTTTCAGCCTTCATTTACTTTGTGTATTTTTTCAGATCATTTCACTTTCAGCATGTTTGTCTTAATAGTTTCATCTTGATTTTAATCCAGCCAATCTATGTCTTTTAATTGAAAAGTGAAGGCAATTTGCATTTAGGGTTATGGTTGAGAAGTGTTTGTTTTCCTTTTCCTTTTATAAAAAACTTATTTTGGCTGATAGGTGATTTGAACCTTACTACTTTACATTTGCTAGGCAGGCCCTCTACCACTTAAGCCACACCTTAAAGCTTTAAATTTTTTTCTTTAGTTATTTTTTGGACAATGTGTTATGCTTTTGAATGTCAAAAGTATGTAGGGCTAGGCTTGAGCAATGATCTTTCTACCTAGACCTCTCAGTATCTGAGATTATAGGTGCATGCCACTATGATGGCTTGTTCGTGTAGATGGAGTCTCACTAATTTGTTTGCCCAGGATGGCTTGGTCCTACCTATCCGTACATCTTGCACAGCTGGAATTATACATGTTTGCCACCACTCTAGATTTAAGAAGTGTTTTCTGATATCTGTCATGCAAAATTTGGGATGGCTAATGGTTTGTCTCTCCCACATCCCTCTCTGCCTCTTTACTTTGGGAGTTTGTTGACTAGTTGTACTATCCATGTGTTTTCGTTTTGCTTTCAAATTGCTCCATCTTTTAGAACTTGATTGCAGATTCTAACAGGGGAGTGCTGATATTTGTATACCATTGAGTAAAGAACAGTCCCCTTCTATCTGATAAGGCTCTCTTCTTTGACTCAGCATGAAACTTCCAATAAGATGCACATGAAAGTGTGAGGGAAGAAGGGAACACTTGTCATCTGGATCAGCCAGATCTTCCCTAGCAGTCTATGGAGTGACAGATGTCACAGCTAGATTGCCCTCAGATCCTATTTCTCTATCTTTTATGAAGATGCAGAGGCATTAAAAACTATGAATGTATTGCCACCATTCATGAAATTGTAATTGTTGTCAAATATTGAAGTTAATTCTATCTTGTTTTCTTTTAAAAATCTTTACAGCAGAGGAAAAGGAAGTGGGATATAGAGTATCCTTCCTTTCCAGAAGAGAATCCACCACAGGTCAGAAGAGCCAGTCTTAGGACAGTGGACACAGCTTCTACCTCCCTCTCTGAAGCATGGCTCAAGTTTGGAGAAGGATTTCAGGACATCTCTGAAACTTTGGTAAAGTAACAATAGGGTAAATCTTAAAATTACTGAGTGTTCAGGCCATTGTTAGTATATTTTCTTGGAATTATGTTTTGTATTTCCTTCTTAACACTATAATTGATCCTGTACCTCTTTTTCTCATTCCTTGAATTGCTTTGCTTCTGGCAAGTTACTTAATTCTTTATTCAATGTATTGTAAATGAAAGCTATATACCGAGAATTGATATGCATTGTAGTCATAAACTGACATGTTGAGTTGAAACCCTTTTTATCAATACTTAAACTAATAGAATAAGGACACATAAACAATAAATATATACTGAGACTGTTCTCAGAAGGTGAAGCCATACTGCTCTTTAATAATGTATTTAGGAGATATGTATGTAGACATTTTGGCTCTTGAGATTATGGGTAATTTCTTCTAATGTTAATTTATAATATAGAGCAGTGCTATCACAGTCTAAATATAATGCAGGTACAGGTAGTAACTCAAGTAGTTAGAATGATACATATTAACCATTGTTGACATTGAATTAATATAAAATGTTTTGATCAACTCTATTTAAATTCCGGAAAATATGACACTAAGTTTTTTAGTATATGAGGAGCACATGCTTAATTCAAGTATAAGATAGCAGAGAGGAATATGCTAAGAATAGGGTTTAAGACTTTGTAACTGGATTTTTAACTAAAAAGAGTTTTGAATGTTGTTTGCTCTTACTCATAAATTACATTATTGTTGTTATTTTACCTGCAGCCAGTAGCTGCCAAGGCAACTATTACAAAAAAGGATATTGAATTATCTCCAAGACCAAAGAAAGGTAATTATAATTTGTTGATTTCTTGATAGAGAAGGTCTAAGGCTATCTTCTCTGGTGTTTTTTGTTTGTTTTGTTTTACTTTGCATTCTTTTAAAAAGTTATTTGCACAGATTAGGTAAACTACATATTCATGTTAAAACAAAAATTGCATCAATGTAAAAAGGTGGGGGTTTTTTGTTGCTGTTCTTTGGGTGGTATTTTTTGTGTGTGTGTGCTGGTCCTGGGGCTTGAACTTGGGACCTGGGTGTTGTCCTTGAACTTCTCTTTTTCAAGGCTAGCACTTTACCACTTGAGTCACAGTTCTGCTTCCAACATTTTTTTTAGTTATTTGTTGGTAGTAGAATCTCATGAACTTTTCTGCCTGGGCTGGTTTTGAACCCTGATCCTCAGTTCTCTGCCTCCTGTGTAACTAATATTACAAGCCTAAGTCACACACATGGCTAAGAAGGTATTTTGGGGAACTCCTTCATTTTTATCACCACTTAACCCATTTTTTGTTGTTTCCTATTGATAATTATTAACTGTTTTTGCATGTCCTTACTGAGTTCACTTTTTTATTGTTGTTATTAAAAGTAAAAAGTTTTGTCTCTTTGACTGTTTTATCATCACATTTAATGCTGTCCTTATTAAAATAGAAACAAGATTAGAATAATTGAAAACTTAAGTACTTGCTAGAGATTTTTTTTTCATAAATTTTTAATCATAGAGTTCTGTAGGTTCAGACTCTATAACTTCAGGGTAAAAACAAAACAAAACAAATTTTAAAGCATCAGAGTTTGGTTCCTAACATTGAAGGGAGAAAAAAAAGGAAAAAAATCATTTGGAAATAAACTTATGACCTAACAACTATATTGCTACAAAATAAGGAATTCTTATTTCAGTAATTAGGGAAGCTTTCTAGAAACCAATACTAGGAAACTATTTTCAAACAATAGAAGTTGAATTTATTTTCTGCAATAAATTATGCAGGGAGCCCATACTCTGAAGCCTTACTGTGGTTTTAATATTTATGTGAATAAGATAGTCACAGAATTCTTAGGATGAGTGTGTACTTTCACTAAATGGGCTTGCCTTTCTTTGGGAAGGAATGTCCTCTTCAGGACCTTTACCTTTGAATCATTTCCACTAAAGACTTTAGTAAAACTAGGGATTTTTTGTAAAGCTATATTGCTGTCAGTAAAACTGAAGGAACGGGTGCATATATCAGGTAAACCACTGGCTTTAATCTGTGACGTAATGTGAAAGTAGAAGCTAGCAATTACAAGGATCTTGTGTCTTGATTGTAGTCCTGGGAAAACAATTAAATGTTAGGAGTTTCGGTTTGTGCATATGGATATTATAGTAATAAGTGAGCTAAAAAATAGTTGAAATACCTTGCTTCAAACTTTTTTAGGGGCTGGGAATGTGGCTTAGTGGTAAGTGCTTGCCTAGCATGCATAAAGACCTGGTTCCATTCCTCATTACCGTATAAGCAGAAAATGCCAGAAGTGCTACTGTAGTCGAAGTGGTAGAGAACTAGCTTTGTGCAAAAGAAGCTCAAGGACAGTGCTCAGGCCCTGAGTTCAAGCCCCAGGACTGGCAAACAAAACAAAACAAAAAACAATTTTTAACTTTCAGAATAGAATAGTGGGCAAATATAGACATAATACTCCGTATACTTACATGAAAATGAAACTAGGAAACCTGAGGAGATAGTGTGGTTGGAATGGATGGAAGAGGGGACTGAATGATGAAAGGAGTGGCACTGATCAATACATATATATTGATACATTGAATTAAAATTGAAATTGAAATCCCTTTGTATAACTATTTAATTTTTTGAAGAGCTTTTTATTTAGCAGGTGGTAAATTGATTGTGGCAATTAGTCTTCTATCTAATGTTAAAAAGAAAACTATAAAAGCCTGCCTAACATTCCACAGGATGGAATAAGGTTGTTACAGAATTTTTACAGTTAAGAGATTAAGCCTTCTAAGCCATATTGTTATTTCACTAACACTTAAGATTTCTTTTCTATGCAATTGAAAAATAAAATATCTTAAAAGTCTTTAAAAAATACTGGCATATAGAATAAACTGACATGAGTCTTCCTATAACACACAATCTTCTGATGGAACTTCAGAAATTTTCTTTTCTTCTTATTAGTGACAAATGTTGTGATATTCAAATACTAATTTAAAAGCAGTATTTTTCTTTAAGTAGATATGGCTTATATATTTTTCTGGAAATTTCTAAACATTGTAAATTTTGCTTGTGAGAGAATAAAATACTATATATACATTACTATTTGCTGCTCAATGATAGAGGATGTTTTGGAATCATTTTTTTTAGGCCAGAATATGTTTGATTTTCCTCTGCTGTACTTTTTGTAATTTTCAAAGGATGAAAGAACCTTTACCAACATATAATTATTGTAGTCATATTGTTAATAAAGGCTTAGGTAGGAAAAGCCATAGAAGGTATTTTGTAGAAATGCCTTTTAAATATAGTAACTCTTAAAGTATTAGTTTAAGACAGACTGAATAAAAATTTAGTACCACATTTAATTTATAGAGCTGAACTTCCAAGCAGGGAACATATTTTTGCAAAGTTTGCATAAGGTCAAAGTCTTCTAGAAATTATCTCAACTAGTTTTTCTTCTTATAGCCTGGCTTTAAGAGCATCCTTCCCTGGTTGTACATGGAACTTCAAGCAAGAAGGTTTGATAAATGATACTGTTTTTACTAGCAAGGTTTTGTATGATTGGAACTTTGGAAAAATGAATACACTTAAAATCTCATTATAACAAATAAGCATGTCAGTTGTTTATTATTATGTATTTTCTTTTTCTTTAACAGAAACTACCACATCCAGTACCATTGAGGTCACAAATATAACATGGAGTTCCAGTGGAAGTGATCTGTCAGATGAAGACAGGACACTTTTTAAATTACAGAAAAATAATGGGAATGGCCCTGGAATAGGCAGGAAGACTTTGCGTCCAGAAGATGGAGACAGTGAAGGTAAATTACATTTTTTATAAGAAAACTATTTTCTGTTAAATATTAGGGATTCAGTGGGAGAAACTTAAATTCCTTTTGTATATTTGTTAATATGATTTTGAGTCCTAACCCTTTAGAAACCTTTTCTTGCCAGACACCATGCCTGGGATTCTAGCAACTCAGGAGGCTGAGATCCACAGGACTACAGCATATAGCCAGCCTGGGAGAAAAGTCTGTGAGAGTCCATCTTCATTTAACTACCACAATAGCCCCACATGTGGTAGAGTACCAGTTAAGCAAGCAAGTAGAGTGAGCTCTGGGCCCAAAGCTCAAATTCAGGAACCTGCAAAACACAAAGAAAAGGAACATTTTTTAAAAAAATTTTTACAGGGGGCTGGGAAGTTGGCTTAGTGGTAGAGGGCTTGCCTCGCATGCATGAGGCCCTGGGTTCGATTCCTCAGCATCACATAAGCAAAAAGAAAAAAGCCAGAAGTGGTGCTGTGGCTCAAGTGGTAGAGTGCTAGCCTTGAGCTGAAGAGCTGAGGCACAGCCCTTGGGCCCAGAGTTCAGCCCCCACAACTGACAAAAAAAAGTTTTCACAGCATTCTATGAGATAGACAGTAAGGTGTTTTTTGTTTTATTATTTTGAGATAGACTCACTGTGTACCCCATACTGGCCTCTACTTCTGCCCCTCCTGCCTCTACTTCTCAAGTGTTGGGATTACTGGTGTGTATAACCATGGGTGGTGCTGTACAATATTGTATGGTGTTCTATAGTATTGTTCTTACAGTTGAACAATTCAGGCTTAGACTTGTTAGAATTGATTGGGATTCATTTTCAGTCTCTTTCACACCAGTACTAGTTCTCTGTACTCCCACATAATGTTATACCCATGCTGCCTTCTCAATAACTTGTTGCTGATTAAATACTAGGACAACAATGTGTGGTAGTTACTTGGTAAAGGTTAAATTAGGTCTTTTCTAAAGGCATTTTATATTAGTAAAATGTTTTAATTTAAAGTAGACTTTCTCAGTTTTAGCACTGTTGCTATTTGAAGCCAGATAATTCTATGCTGTTTTGCAGCATCTCTGTCTTCTACCCCTTGGATAATAGTAGTACCTCCCAGCTACGGTTTTTACCATCAGAAATATTTTCAGCTGTTTTGTGAGGTCCTCTAAAGCACAAAATCCATTTTATGACAACAGATATATATTATGAAAATAATATCCTTTGTGTATATATGTGTATGTGCATGGTGTGCATACATGTGCACATGCGTGTCTGTGTGCATGTCTGCGCACTGTTCCTGGGGCTTGAACTCAAGGTCTGGTCCCTGTCCCTGAGCTCTTTTCCTCAAAGCACTGTATCACTTAAGATTTTTTTACTAATTAATTGGAGATGAGTGTCTCACTAACTTTCTTGCTCAAGCTGGCTTTCTGTAATCCTCAGATCTCAGCCTCCTTAGTAGTTAGGATTATAGGTGTGAGCCACTGGTGCCCAGATATAATATCCTTTTACAGTTTTTTAACTATGTAGCTATCTAGAATTTTAAATAGTGCATTCAAAGTAAGCTTGTGTCTTAGCTTTGAAAGCTTATGTTAGCTTGGTCAAGATTAGGTTTGGATAGACAGCCTCTCTGGAAGGTGGTTAAATTCCTTTATTCTCTTTGCATGTCATTTTGGTTCCTGCCATTGACATTTTGGTAGTTATCAGGTAAAGCGGTACTTTTAAGTTTACACATTGGCTGATAGTTCTCATGTTATTAAATTCACTTGTATTAGTTCAAACTAATTGTGATATAAATATGGTTTGTCCTCACACAGTTCAGGCCACAATTGCAATATAAAAATCATGCACTTTTTATAGTGAATACTGTTGTATGGGAGTTATATTGCAATAAATTTGGCATTAAAAAGAAAATTTGAGTTGTTTCTCCTATTGAAAGAGATATTCAAGGACTGAGCATCGTATCTTTACTATAATCTCATCTACTCATAAAGCAGAAATTGGGAAGATGATTGTTCTAGACCAGCCTTGGCAAAAACAGGATCTGGAGTTTATTGTATCCAGCAAATAGGGAATGATGGAATTCACTCCTAATCCCAGTCTTGTGGGAGAATGGGTGGGAGAATTGAGGTCTTAGACCAATGCAGGCAAAGGAGATGTGATACCTGTTTGCAAAAAATAAATGAAAAAGCCAACCATGGCTCCTGTGGTATAGTGCCTGCCTAGGAAGTACAAAATCCTGAAATCAAACCCCAAACCATGAGAGAGAGAGAGACAGACAGACAAACAGACAGATTTTCAGATTCAGTAGTTTTCAAATCTCTGTGTCTAATGGAAAACTACATTGAGCCTTAAAATAAGTTAAAACATTGTGGACTTCTTTCTTGTCTAAGTGGATCTTAGATAACAAGCAATTGTTCCCTATAATGTATCTCATCATGTTTATATATGTATAAGTACTGGTCTCTCTTTCTCTCCCTGCTCTCCTTTCTCGCCCTCTCCCTCTTTCCCTCTCTCCCTCTCTCCCTCTTTCCTTTCCTTTCCTTCTCTCCCCAACTCTCTGTTTTTCCATGCCTTCCTTTCCTTGTATTGTTACCAAGATTTTTATTTTGTCTAAAATGCATACATTTTTCTCTCTCATAGATGTATGTATATATACACACATATATACATATGTGTATGTATATGTGTGTGTATGTATCTTGTTAATCTAACACATCTTCATTTTGTTAGAAGAATATTGGGGCTTAGAAAAATTAGGTCACTTGTGCAGAATCACATAATTGATGTCTGCCAGTTGATATTCAGATCTAAAGATTTCTAACCTGCCTTCTTGCTTTATGAAATTACTGTGACAAAATGAAATGCTCATCTTGTTTGTACAAATTATTTTGTATCATGCATTGCATAGCAGTATGCTGTTCATCTATGAGTAGTTATGTTTTATTTCTTGCAATTGTTTTGTTTGGTATGATGACTTGGTAGGCACTTTGTTGAATGAAAAAGTGAATGAATAAATAAGTGCTTCACAAGTTAGCAATGCTGGCAGCAGGTCTGATTATATGTGTGCTCCTCCTTTGGCTCTTCATGGCTTCCTGCTGAGATGGTTCAGCAACTTGGTGAATTTCTCATGCTTTTATTTTTCTGTCTGATTTGGATAACTAACTGTAAAGTTAGCTGTGGAAAGTAAAATCCCTTATGTATCTGCTTCTCTTGGTGGCAGTTTTGAACTCCAGTCTTTTTTTTTTTTTTTTTGCTTGTCTTGATAAGGCTTGAACTTAGAGCCTAGGCACTGTCCCTGCCTTCCTTTGCTCAAAGCTAGCACTCTACCACTTTGAGCCACAGTACCACTTCCAGCTTTTTCTGTGATTAATTGGAGATAAGAGTCTCATGGACTTTCCTGTCTAGGCTGGCTTCAAACCATAATCATCAGATCTCAACCTCCTGAGTAGCTAGTATTACAAGTATGAACCATTAGCACCTGACTCCAATCTTTTTTTGTTTGTTTGTTTTTTATTTTGTTTATGTGATACAAAGGAATTGAAACTAGGGCCTCACCCATGCTAGGCATGCACTCTACCACTAAGCCACATCCCTAGCCTCTCTAAACTTTTTTTTTTAGATGAATATTCTTTTTTTTAAGTAAGTTTTTTATTGTGAAAATAGTGTACAGAGGGTTACAGTTACATGAACAAGATAATGAGTACATTTCTTATCAAGCATTGTTGCTTCCTCCTTTGTTCTCTAATCTTTTATAGTAGACTTTGATTGCCTCTTCTGGAACAAAATAAGAATTATTTTGTGTGTTTTCTATCCCATATTTTAACTGTAGCCTACTTTTTTCCTTTTCAATTTTAAGTTCCTTTTATGACTGAAAGTTAGTGCATTTTTTTCTTTCTAACATTACTTCAATTTTCTGGAAATCAGATTAATGCTATTTAAACCTCCAAAATAAGACTGACCTTTCTAAGTTGATGAAGGGATGCAGTAGGTGTGAGACTACTTGTGCTTTGTACTTCAGGAAATATTTGTGTTATATGTCATGCCTCCATGACATAACTTCTTTCATTTATTTCGCCATGGTAGATTAGAATTAATGTATTTGATCATTTAATGAGCATAATTTAGTCTTCTGACCTAAAAGTATAGAAAAGTATTATTAAGGTGATGCTTATTAAGCTAAACTATAGTTTGAATTGACGTTAGTTGTTTTTTTACTGAAGAACTAAGTCTGTAGAACACATTATTGGGTGAAGACATCTGAAAGTCATTTTTAAAAAATTGGACTGTTTAAATGAAAGTACAATTCCATGATGAAATGGAGTAATGAATTGTAGATAATTAGAATACTATATGCTTACTAGTAAAAAGACAAAACCTCTATCATTTTACCTGAAAATATCAAGATGTATGAATCAACAATAAACTCAGTATTTGTATTGTACATATTGTATTTGTTTTGCTATATTGAATGTATAACAAAACTACAAATTGATAGTTCATTCTACTGCTACTGGACACTTGGGGTGGTTCATGCCATGGCAATTAAAAAGCTCTAAGATCAACAAAAAAAGAATAAACTGGAAGGATGGAGGATAGAATGGTAAATAATTTTCTGGAACATGCTAGCAAAATTACAAGGATTCAAAAACAACTAATGGGAGAAAGTTAGAAGAAACAGTGACTAGAGATGAGTTTAGGAATATACTTTTTTAATATATTTTTTATTTTAAAGATACTGTACAAAGGGATTACAGTTACATGAGTAAGGTAATGAGTACATTTCCTATTGAGCATTGTTACCCCCTCCTTTGTTTTTCCTCTACCATCCCTTCCCTCCCAGCCTCCCTAACTCCTCCCTCCCCTCCCCACTTGAAGCTGTAAAGTTCATTTTCAATATAGTGTCTTGTATAGCTCATTGTTACAATGGGTCATCCTGTATTCTTATTTCAGCGTTTTGTTATTTCCCTTCCCCTCCCCAAATTAGGAAAATGTATATATAAGATGCAGAGCACCAGAATCAAATATAGTGACAACAGGAGTTATACCATGGTGAAGAACATAGAAAAGAAACAAAAAAAAATCACACAGTACATTATAAGTACATTAAAAACAACAGCAACAAAGATAAAACCACTTGTGTCCCTATCTTGGGGTTCTTTTCACTTAGCATCATTTTATATGGTCATATGTACATAGCTTTTGACCTTTTCTGCTTGTCCTAGACCTATACTAGTTGTTGCAAATAAGGGAAACCATGGGACCTATGTTTCTTTGGGTCTGGCTTACTTCACTTAATATGATTTTTTTTCCAAGTCTTTCCATTTCCTAACAAATGGTGTGGTGTCATTCTTTCTGATGGGGGCATAGAATTCCATTGTATAGATATATATACACATTTTCTTGATCCATTCATCTACTCAGGGGCATCTGGGTTGGTTCCATATCTTAGCTATGGTGAATATGCTGTGATAAACATAGCTGTGCTGGTAGCTTTAGTACAGCCTTGTTTGTGATCATTTGGGTAAATGCACAAAAGTGGGACTGCTGGGTCATAGGGGGCCTCTCTCTGTGTAGTCTTTTGAGGAACCTCCACTGCTTTCCAGGAATATAGTTTTTTATTGTCCATAAGTTTTTAAAAGTTATAGTATACTAACTAATGAGAATATATTTTATAAAAAATATTAAAGAAATATAAAATTAAGAAAGTTAAAAATTCTATTTTTTAGATGAATTACAGTTTATTGACTGGGAAATGGACAGTGACAGGGAAGAAGCTAGTGAAGGCAATGAATGTGACGATAGAGGGAACACCGTGGAAATCTCAGATTGTGCTTCTTGTGCAAGTAGTCATTCTTTGGCAAGTGATGACAGGAAACTTGAGCTTAAGGTAAGAATGAATTATTTCAAAAACTTCCGTTTGCTATGTAGCATTTGCTTATAGGTAAGAACAAACTTAAAAACTTTTATGAACTTCATAACACTTGTTTATTATAGCCTATTGGTGTTCCCACTATTACCCTTACCCCGGTGTTGAGGAATCAAACCGAGGGCCTCATGCATGCGAGGCAAGCACTCTACCACTGAGCCACCTTCCCAGCCCTGATTCTAGTGAATTCTTTTATTCTTAGCTTCTTTGTCTCAATAACAGGTGAACCCTTTTGTCTGTAAATAATAGGCTTGGCACTACATGAATACTGAGCAACTATACTTTAAACATTTGCATCTTTTCATTCTCCCATTATAGATGCTTCAACAGTTGATTAGATTAGTAGTCAATAACTATATGTTTGTTTATCAATAATGTTAATCACTAAAGTGAATTGTAGAGAAGAATTAGAATTTCTTTCACAGCCTTTTTCCCCCTTGGGCCTAGCAATTTGGAGTTTATCTAGAGTTTTACTTTCTACTAATAAAAATCTTAATTTTTTTCTTAGCTCTGTCATTAAGCTTTTCATATATTGTAGACATTCTATCAGTGCCATTTACTTGGAGAATTCCAGACCTCAGCTTCATAGCCTAAGTTGAATTCTTTACTCTTTACTCTTTAATTGCATATTATCTCCCTGAGGCCTCTTTTTACCTTCAGAATTAGTTACTTTGACATGGCTGTGATCAGAATACTTGAGAGAACCTTAAAATTGGAAAGGTTTACTTTGGCTCACAGTTTCTAAGGGTTTAGTGATGGTAATGGGAGTGTTTGGCAGAGACGAGTATTACTAATATTAGGAGGGCAAGTGACCAGGACTACATACAGCAGTCTTCTAAGGCATACATACGCTCAGTTAGCTACTTCCTCCATCTAGGTCTCATCTAAAGATTTGAGAACCTCTCAAAATAGCACCTCTCAAAACCAACAGGGGAAAAGAAAAACTCACTGGGGACCAAGCACTACAACACAGGAGCCTGATGAACAATGCAATTTCATATCATTACAATATCATTATGGGAGTTTTTGTACAGCTCTCTCCTTTATGCAGCTCCATTTTACTCTAAAGTGTTTCCTGTTTTCACTTCGTTTTCATTCTCATTTTAGTAAACATATCTTCCCGTTGTTTCTCATAAATGATTTATAGAACATTTTTTGAGACTTGCCATGTCTGAAGATGCTTTTAATATGCTATGATAAATGGTTACAGATTTGTACATAATTTTATGCTGGGAATAATTCTCCTTCAAGACTTTGTAAGTATTGTTTCAGTGTCTTTTAATTCAAGAGTTACTGTTAGAGGATCCTCATGTTTTCTGTACTTGGTAGTTCATCAGCTGCTACTCTACACTTGAACCATACCTCCAGCCTTGTTTTATGCTGGCTCATTGGAGATGGAGTCTTTTCTGCTCAGACTGGCTTTGAGCCTTGATCCTCCAGATCTCAGCTTCCTGAGTAACTAGGCTATGGGAATGAGTCACCAATACTTGGCTTGCTATTTTTATTTTTAATCTTTTAAGCTTTTCTCTATTTCTGGTTTTCAGCATGTTGATTGTGATACCCCTTGGTAAGGTTTTTCTGAATGCCTAGGATTATAGACTTGACCCACTAGTGCCAAGCTAAACTTGCCTTTTGACTACAACACATTGTATTAAGTCAGACATGGAATTTTCCACTTGTGGTACTGTCAGCAGACAAAAAGTTTTAGATTATGGATGCTCAGTTACACAGATTTTTTTTACCTCAATTTTTTTTGTTGTTGTTGGTCATGGGGCTTGAACTCTGGGCTTGGACACTGTCCCTGCATTCTTCAGCTCAAGGCGAGTGCTCTACTGCTTGAGCCACAGCGCCACTTCCGGTTTTCTAGTGGTTTATTGGAGATAAGAGTCTTAGGGACTTTCCTGCCCGGACTGGCTTTGAACCACGATCCTCAGATCTCAGCCTCCTGAGTAGCTAGGATTACAGGCATGAGCCATCGGCACCCAGCTACCCTCAATTTTTAAAATTATTTTTGGAACAGTTTGGGAAGGATTAACACTAATGTTCAGCTCTTGGGTAGAATCCAGCAGGGAAGTTGCGAGGCTCCAGACTTTCCTTTTTTAAATTATCGATTTCGATTCTGTACTTAATAGAGATAAATTTTTCTATTTCTTCATGACTAAATGTTGGTTATGTTGTATATATGTTTTTTCTTTTTTTGTGTGGGGAGGGGTCAGTTGTGGGACCTGAACTCTGGCCCTGGGCTCTGTCCTTCAGCTTTTCAGCTCAAGGCTAGCACTCACCACTTCCAGCTTTTTCTGCTTATGTGGTGCTGAGAAATGGAACCCAGGGCCTCATACATGCAAGGCAAGCACTCTACGACTGAGCCACCTTCCCAGCCCCTGTTGTATGTTTTTAGAACTGCATGTATTTCTTCTAAGCTATCCAATGTATTGATTTATAGTTGTTCACAATTCCTCAGTAATCCCTTAATATATTTGTATTTGAGTAGTATCATTTGTAATGTTACCTCTTCATTTTACCATTTTTTTAGCCTTTCCTTTTTCCTTAATCTGTCACTTTTGTTTGTTTTAAATTAAAAAATTCTTAGTTTGTTTAGTATTTTCTATTATATTTTAGATTCTTTTTCATTTATTTCTACCCCAGCCTTAATGACCTTCCTTTTATGAACTTTGGGCTTAGTGTGTTCTTTCTTTAGTTCTTTGAAGTGTGGTGTTACATTGTTTGAAACCTCCCTTCCCTGTCTCCTTTCCCCTCCCTTCTCCTCCTTTCTCCTCCTCTCCTCTGCTCTATTCTCCTTTCCTTCTCTTCCCTCCTCTTTCCTCTCTCCCTCTTCTGCACCCTTCCCCACTCCCTTTCCCTTTTTCACCACTTCTACCCTCCTTTCCCTTCTCTTATCTGTTCTTCCCTTCCTTCCCTTCTCTCCTATACTATACTCCTCTCCCCTCTTCTCCACTTCCCTTTGGTGCTAGTAATCAAGCCCAGCAGTTCCTCACAAGCATTCTAGGTAAGTGCTCCAGCACTGAGCCACATCTACTTAAACTCTCTTTGCCTCTGTCTTTCAAGTACTAGTATTAAGTACTGCTATAAAGAAGTCTGTCACCACACCTAGTTCTCCTTCTTTCCTGAGAACAGCTTTGTATCAAAGTGTAGTGTACTTGGTTTATAGTTTACTTGCAGTACTTTGAACATATCATTGCCAGTCTCTTCTAACCTAAAGGTTTGTGCTGAGAAATCTGCTGATAGTTGTACTGGAAATGTCTTGTATGAAATAGGCTTTTTATTTTCTCATGTGGTTTTCAAGATCCCCTTTTCCTTTGATTTTCTATAGTTTAGTTACATGTTTTGATATAGTAATGTTAGAATTCAGTCTTGTTAGACTATTTGAGATTTTTGTACCTAGATATTTGTATAAACTCTCCCTAGATTTGGAAAATTTTCTCTCATTTTATCTTTAAGCTTTCTCCTCCTTGTTCTCCAGTCCTTTTGCTTTTTTTCCTCTCTTGGTAATTTCAAATGACTTAGATTCAAACTTTACTGGTCTTCTGCTTGGTTGAGTCAGATGTTGAAGCTCTAAAGAGTTTTTTTAGTTGCATCATTGTGTTACTTAGCTTAGAGATTATGGTTTGTCCATTTTATTTTTTAATAGTTTCTATATTTTTGTTAAACTTTTTGCTTATTTATTGGTTTAACTGATTTTATTTAATCTTGTCTACTTTCTTACAGCTCACTGAAGTTTTTGAACAAACAGTATTTAACATAGACAGGAACTTTATATGTCTCCTTTTATCTTGAGCATATTACTGCTACTTTATTTTGGTTTTTGGTGATGTCATAGTTTTCTGATTTTTTTTATCTTTGTGGTCATTCATTGTTTAATTAATTGGAATTAGTAACCTTACTAAAAAGTATGTGGCAATCTAAAAATATATGGGCATCTTTAAAGATATGGGATAGATTAATAACTTCAGTGTAGAAGTAAAGGTTTCTGTGTTAGCATCTGCTTGTATTTATATTTGTCATCTTGAATTGAGAACATTCTTCAAGTTATTTTCTCAATATCCATTTATTGCTGTGGTTACTTCAGTAGCTGATTACCTGTTAATTCATGTTACTAGCCTCCCTACCTCCCTTACTTTTTTCCTTCCTCCTTCTCTGCTCCTTCTGGAGTTGAAGTTAATGCTCTACAAGTATACGTGTGTGTGTGTGTGCGCGCCATACTGGGGCTTGAACTCAGCCTGGATGCTAAAAAACTAGCTTTTCTGTGTGTGTGTGTGTGTGTGTGTGTGTGTGTGTGTGTGTGTGTGTGTGTGTGTGTGTGTGTGTGTGCGCGCGCGCGCCATACTGGGGCTTGAACTCAGCCTGGATGCTAGAACTCAGCCTGGATGCTAAAAAACTAGCCTTTTAGAGAGAGAGTGTGTGTGTGTGTGCCATACTGGGGCTTGAACTCAGCCTGGATGTTAAAAAACTAGCCTTTCAGCTTTTGCTCAAAACTGGTGCTTTATTACTTGAGCTACAGCTTCAATTTTGGCTTTTGGTAGTAAATTGGAGAAAAGAGTCTTACAGACTTTCTTACTTAGGCTCACAATCCACAGTTGTTTTTTGAGTATCTAGGATTTATCTAGGATTACAGACATAAGCTACCAATGTCTAGCTCACCTTGCTTTTTGAAATATATTTTTGCTAACTTCTTGTTCACGGCCTGGAACCACCATCTTCCTATCTCTACCTCTTGTGCATCTGGGATTACAGGTGTATGCTGCCATGCCTGGCCCAAGTTCCTAGCTTTTAATGATATTTCTGTTGAGAGAAGTGAGTTACCTCTATATAACATTATATTTCAAGTTAACTTTTACTTTTCACATTTATCTAATATTTCATGAGCATATTTTCTAGTGATAAAGTAATAAAACATTCAGTTATGTTAGCTTTGAGGTAAAGAAATTGAGATGCTAGAAGTT